AGAATATTCTTTGTTCATTAATCAGTCTTTTAAATTCTTCATGGGTATTTTCAATCAATTAAAATTGACTTCAATACGCTTTATACGGATACACAAAACTCCATTGTGAGTGAGTGATTTATTTAACATAGTGAGTTTTTAGGGTTGTTCGGTTGGTTTTTTTCACCTACAATTTCTACTGTCTTAAGACAATTAGCATTCTCTTTGTTCAAAGAATTATAACTTAACTATATTACATAAATGTCTAACGTCCACCCCGAAAGCTACTCATCTATCCGCTCATAATACACACTTCTCCTCGGACATAAAAAGATAACTTCTTACTCACCTTTCTGAGCAAACAAAATCGATTATTTCAATTTTTAATGGTTTAAACCCCTTAGTTTGTCGTAATTCATTCAACTTCTCACAATTCTAAAATGATAAAGAAATAGAGAAAAAATTATCAGGCAAGTTAAAGTAAAATTAAGCAGCTAACATCATATATATAGTCAAAACCCGTAACTCTTGACCATCGTCTACACAAAAACTTCCGGTAGCGTTTTTTAAACTCTATACGGAGTTTGTGAGTCGGTGGCATAGCTGTTCGCACTCTCACCGTCCATGCACATGGTTCGGGGTTCGATCCCCGGCCACCGACGCACTCCTTTACCTCGCTTAGCCAGAAATAAAGCTAATAAAGAGGAAAGGTTGGGCATGAGGCTAGCAACTCCATCCTGTAAAAATAATAACCACTGCTACAGAAACTTCAAGCCTCTAGCTTGAAGCCCTACGTTCCACTGGGAACGTGAAGGAATAAAAAAACAGAGTTTTCAGATGTGTACATCCCATTCACATGTTAAGGATGAGTTGTGAAAAACTTTATTCTGTGAATAAAAACTTGTTATAGTATAGTTATCAAGAGATGAAATAAGCTCATTGCACTCTCATGTTGTTACAGACAAATCCCGGCTAAAATGTTATTCAGTAAATAATAATCCATCACTATTCTCTATCAAGAATATCCAATATGAAGTTGGGATATTCTCCATTCTTTCGTCCAATGGGCCAAGTTAAACTTTAAGCACCACTAACTACCAATGGAGTGCGTCCGCACCATTGACCTTGAATGATCCAATGAGTTTTATTCACGTGAGTTGAAGCTTCTGTTCCGCTTGATTCGAGTCAGGGAAGGTAAGCTGATGATTCTAATATTTCGTAGGAACATGTTTTGCCAGAGCCCATCTTTCCTTAACCCAGATTTTGTATATTTGTAATTATTGGGTTTTAAAACAGCCTGTGAGAAGTTCAGCTGCTGAAACTGAAAATAGTCTCGTATCAACAGTTCAGTGGTACCAGCACTGCAGGGATATCGCATCCTGGAAAGTGGAGAGGCTTACTTCCTTATTGGGAGGAGAAGGTGTCGTCGTACATGTAGATGAAACTGTCTTATTAAAGAAAAAAATACAATCGTGGTCGAGAACGAGCGAATAAGATTCGTCGAGAGGATAGCAGATAGAAAGTCAAGTACTTTAATATCCATTATTAGTCGACTGGTGAAACAAGGATTTATAATACACTCAGATGAGTGGAAAGGTTATAACTCCTAGTCATCCCTTGGAAATATTCACCACAGAGTCAACCATTCTAATGATTTTGTGGATCCCATTACAGACACCCACACCGATCCTATTGAAGGCTTTTGGGGAAGGTTAAAAACAGGATTAGAGCCATTAATGGATCGCAAAGCGATGTCCTTTAGATGAATATACGTATAGGATGTGGTGTAACTTTTCCATTGATACTCCTATGTTAAACTGGGAGATGTTTTTATCAAATGTGAGAGAAAGGTATCCTATGCAACACTTTTATACAGTTTTTATGCTTTTTTTTCATAAATATACGTATTCTATACCCAAAAATGCCTCCTCCATGTGATTGGCGCGTTCAAGGTCATTCGCTGATTGGTAGTTAGTGGTGCTTAAAGTTTAACTTTACCCGTTCATCTATATCACATTCACGATGTAAATCAGCTTGTTTGCTTTAAGAATACTTGAGGTTATATTATGTGATTAGGGTTAGAAGTAATGCTAGGTAAAGAGAGATAACTAATCCAAGCGGTTGTGAATTTTTATCGATCAAAATGGCTGGGACATCATTCTCCTAGACGAGCTGAAGTAAAAATCAGGTTAGAAAAGAGTTAGACACGGTCAAACCAAAAGACATGTCATCTATCCATAAAGTCATTAAGTGTTGGTCTGAGTTATCTAGGAAGGTGTGGGTTGTCTGACTTGGAACCTCGGGATGCTGAGAATCAATGGATGAAGACTCTTCATAGTGACTTAAAACCATTTCGAATGCATTCACTCCATTGTCATCTTTCAGAATTCGAAAGATTTTACTAATCTCTATCTGATTATTCTCTCTAGTGTGTATCTATCTTCATCTATTGTGGTCTTATTCCATCCCTTCTCTTTACTTTATTGCGTGCTTTTCCAAAATATTCTTCTTTTATTCCTTTACGTTCCCAGTGGAACATAAGGCTTCAAGCTAGAGCTTTGAAGTTCCGGCAGCAGTGGTGTTTATTTTACGGGATGGGGTTGCTAGCCTCATTTAGCCCAACCTCCCTCTTTACCAGTCTTATTACTGACTTAGCGAGGTAGATGAGTGCGCCGGTCGGGGATCGAACCCCAAACCACCTGCTTGGTTGGCGAGCATTCTACCGCAGTGCCACCGACGCACTTTCCAAAATATGCCAATTCGAAATAATGCACTTTTGTGCAAATTTCTACGATGATAAATCCGTCAGATTTGAGTTATAATTTACTGGTTGTCTTTATTCTCCTTTCCATAATGAACATCACACTGGATTAGTATAAAGCTCATTCTAGTTTTAGCATAGATCCCAAGCTATCTCTTTTCAGAATAGAGACTTAATATTTCAACCTTTAAGCTCACTCGGTAGACAACTTTTACCACTTACTAGGGCTGATATACATGTGCTTGAAACAACGCCCTCGCCTGCTGAATGATCCATAAGCAGTACCGATATTCTCTCCAAAAATGTCCAATAACGACCATGAGTAGTATAAATTGTCCTAAAATTCTCACTCAGTAAACAAAACTTAGTCGCTATATTGTATCAAATGAAAGTATTTAGCATTAAATGGGTCAATGAACACGTACATCTTAAAAAGACTGTTCAAAGTCTTACAAGATAACTTAGTACAGTTCAGTTGGAGAACAAATCAACTACTTATTTCTTTTGGAAACTTAATTAACACGCCAAAGTCAAGTGAATACAAATAATTAGACTATTTAGAATAGCCTACATACTATATAAACACAATAAAGATACGACAAGTGGGTCGCACTAAAATGATTACTATTAAATCGCGAACTTGATACATAATGACCACCAAGAGATGCGCCACACAAAATCTAATAGTTTGTGCAAGGGTTGAGATACCGTCCGGACGCCCAGACCACCCACACTCAAGCCTTTGACTTGAAGTCTGATCCACAAGGTAGTGGAGCGGTGTCAGAAGCTACGTCCCCATAGTTGCCAGTAACCAAAACAGGTTCATATCCCATTCAATCCATCTGGATTCGGGAGCCTATGTACGCCATAGGCTTGGAATCAAGGTTTTCCAGCTCCCCCAGGTAGACACGAATGTCCGGACGTTCGCAATCACTTTTTCACACCCCGGCCACGTGAAGGCGGTGAGTGGGATTTACCTGACCGAGGTTATGAACACGTGGCTACATGAAGACATTTCGAGGGGAAGACCGACGTCTATCCACTCTCGGCTGTACTAGGGTGTTTATGGGATCACACTACTATAAAACTTATAAGATGAAAAATTACTGCATAACTTTCAGTTAGTATACTCACACGAAGAGATTCAGAACTAGCTACTATACAATCGAACTCTGCACAATATCCTGGTGGACCAAATTCATCGGATAATTCAACAATTTTCACATTCTCCAGCTGTACTCCAATATCACTGAGGAATGCTTGAACAGCTAGTTGACGCTTTTCCCAAGAATATATGAAAGGACTAAGACATTTGCCTGAAAGTAATTTAGAACATGTTATCCCAATGAGTAGTTGTTGTTTAGCTAGTAAAGCGCCAACAGTAAGTAAAATTTTATGTCCATTATGTAGCCGATCGAAAGTACCACCAAGGCATACATGAGAGATATCTTGATAGGATTCATCCAATGACTTATCATCATGATCATCGTTTGACTTGTCATCAACTACTGTTGCGTCTAAATCGAATTCATCTGTAATAAATGAAAAATAATTGTGAATACATTAACAAGAGGCATTACATAAGATAAGTATAATCAATAATGGACCGGAAAAAAAAGCAGATATCTGGAATATAGATTAAATTTAAACCTCCTAGTTAGCAAACCAATGGTGTCATAGTGGTATTATGTAGGGTTAAGCTTAAAGATCCTTAAAGAACCCCATAGCAATGTACACTGGAGTAGAAGTGGTCATATTTTCTTACTGATAATAGTAATTTGCAAACCGAAGTTATAGTATTTTAATGAAGGAATAGCTAAGGCATACAAGCATTTAACTATCTGATCATCGGTGTCTATTTCGATCCGGTCAATAGGAAAAACAATGTTAGTGCTTAACATGCTAAGAAACCGAAGCTGATCACATCTTACCACCGTAAATCCGCTTACAATTCAATTGAGCTGTGATCAGGGCTTCTCATCACTCAGTTCTCATGCAACAAATTTTAGCAATACAAACGTCTTTGTCTACCGCATCTCAATGATTAAGAGAAAAATTTCTTCTGGTCAGGAGTATATATAATAAGAAGTGATACATTGTAACGACAGAAAACAAGGGCCAGGCAACAGATCGTTTATTGAGGAAATCAAGAGATACTTATAGATTTTTATGTATATTATCATTCGTTATTGTTAGCATAGAAGCAACGTCTTCTGACTGGTTTATTTTCTTGCTGAAGGCTTTCCTGTCATCTCTTTGTGGCTGTTTCTTAGAAAGTCAGGCCATATATCTGCGAATCGTATTTGCACACCTTAAGTCTGCTGTGATTTAGTTGGTGAGTTCCTCAAGGTTACGCTTTGTTATTGTTTCTTCTCATGACCCACATTCGGGACGTAAACATAAGCGTAAATTGTTGTCTACAATTTTGGCTAGCAGACATCTCTCACCACAATATGAGTACAAACAAGTCAAGAATTAGTAGTGAAGCGATTTTTGTTGGACACTGTTATCAATATTTTACTTCTACAATTGATGAAAAACTGAACTAATTCACTCCACGGATAAAATTCAAGTCGAAAGTAAACTTTATCATGAAGAGATATCGACTGGAACAACCACTGGAAACTGAAGAGTGCTGGATAGCTGTCTTATTTTAGTTTGAGACTGGTAAAGAACAAGAAGACTTGAACTCTAGTAAGAAGTTAATGATTTACGATTACCTTTTATAAACTATAGTGAAGCGCCGCCACCATCCACAGTCATTGTTGAGTTGCCGAACTCTCATATGACTCAGAAAACCCCACTGCTGGGACGAAATAAGTGTCTAATTCTTCATTGTTTACAATGATTCCTTAGCTTATGCAGGTTCGCATATTAAGTGATAAAACATAGTGAGCAATATTGAGGTTAGGCGTAGAGAGTTAAGTAAGGAAAGAAATTCAATCGATAAGGTCATGAAGCTATATAGATTGAGATGGCTAAGATAGATGCGTGTTACGCAAGGCAACCCATCACTTTCCTTGTCGATTAATGTCAACTGACATATGATTAGATTGGAAAAGAGTTAGGGATGATCAAACAAAATACTCGCATATATCCATGAAGTCTAACTATTGGTATGAGCCACGTAAGCAGATATAGACCGACTGGTTGGAATTAAGAATCGATGACTTGAGACTGTTGGTGATATGGTTCTAAAAGGTTCTCAATAGCGTAGATGCATCCACTCTTTGTAACCTCCCAGATCCATTGAATCATCATGTTTCTGCATGTAATCACTCTTTTGAATTTCTTTTCCTTCTCTATCTCTCTCTCTCTCTGAGTGATATTAGGAAAGTAGTGTAGCAACTTGCACTGTTGCACTTCTGTGAAAAGTTCTTTGTCGGAACACAGTCAATCAATCAGTTAGTCAGTATATCAGTATCTCATATATTATATCTTGTTTATTCACCCACTGAATTTCCTGACTGCTTTTCCAACTGAATTCAGGCTTCATTCTACACTACATCTAGACTACAAAAAAGCGTGAACACTAATTAAATAACCATCAACAACGCCTCTATCCGTTTATTAAACAATACCATTACATCAAGATTGAGAAAGTATACTCTCTAAAACCATAAATATGTGCTAAACACATCTTCCTCAATCCCAATCAGTAGAAATTTCATAAGTAAAATACTATCCCACCTAAGAAAATTAGTAAAATATCTTGCCTTTAGTAGCGTATAAAATATTGTCATTATATAATGGATCAATATTGTGAACTTCTTTCAAAATCCAAGCATGACTGAATTCAGATTCTGGAGAGATCACAATATCGAATTTTACTGAAGGCTTTAAGGATGTACTTTTGGGAGGCGGTGGAGGAGGGAGGAGAAGCAGACAAATGTTTAGCGATGGACACACCTGTAAATTTTAAATCATCAAAACAGAAATAGACAACTAACCTGATAAGCAATTGTATAACACAGTGTAGCTGTTCTTTTCCAATAGGTAAAATTTAAAGGACTTTGTGGGACAGTTAAAAATAACTTTTCATTCACCATATTCTTAGCATATTTTAACAGAGAAGACAATTTATGAGGACGGATATGAGGCGATAAAATAAGTAGGCCAGATTGGTACATATTACACAACAACAACAACAACAACAGGAGTTTTACTGATGTGTTAACAACCTGAAAAACAATTTAAAAATAAATATATAAATCATACCCATTAGTAATCCTACTTATTATAGAATATAAAATCTATAGATTTATTCAGATACATGCACGTGAGAAGAAAGTCAACAAATCTGTAGATAAGCAAAACAGACATAGAAAGTGAAATGAAATGTAGTGGTACAACTTGCCAAATTACGTAAATTAAAATCTCCGATAGAAAACAAATTTGCAGGTGAAGCTTTTCTGTCAGTTTAATTCAAGAGAAATACATACCTACTGATATTCTTAAAAATTTTTAAGGATCTAAAGTGAAAAAGACGTCATCATAACCGCATTTCGTTTTCAGACTATGGATACTGTCAGTCAGAGTTAATAGCAATCATGAGACTGCCGTCTGCTTCTTTACATGCTACCTTTAACCAAAGCTTTTTGAGCTTACACAAATAGGTTTTATCCACAAAGTTGAAACTGAAGATTCGGTTTATAAACTAGTGTTATGGTGGTGTGATACAGACAATTATGTTTCAACGTTATATTATTCTCATATATTTCCACAGTTCAATACTGCATTAGCAACGAAATACCATATATGTATTTGAACATTCTATTTCATGTCATTTAATGTAAACCAAAATTTAATGAAAACAAAACACGTAGATCAGCGAAGAGTCTCTTTTCGGCGAATTCATCTTCTTAGCTGTACAATCGCAAATATATATGCATTGTTTTGTTTGTATGTGTACATTAAGTTTGTCAATGTTTGTTTGTTTGTCATGTACACATACAAACAAAACAATGCATATATATTTGCGATTGTACAGCTAAGAAGATGAACTCGCCGAAAAGAGACTCTTCGCTGATCTACGTGTTTTGTTTTCATTAATGCCTGGATGGGGATTATCCATGAATGTAAACCAAAATCACGAGCTCAGTGATTGGTTTTTAAGAATATAAACTCCACACACATAAATAGCGGTTTGATCAATTGAAAATGTATCTTGGATTCCGTGTCTTGTCTTCTGCTCTTCTGTTGATTAACTGGTTTCAAAATAGAAGTTTACACATAAGTGCAGCAGTTCATGCTGCTGCCATACTCCATGTAATACACAAAGACAAAAGAGAGAAAGAAGAAAAGAGATTCGAAGGAACGATAATAAGCATAAATGTGAAGGAAAAAAATAGTAACATGGGAAAAACGATCCCGTTCAATGGATACAGCAGACCACAAAGAGTGAATGCATCTACGCCACTGACAAAGACTTTGAGCCATATCACTAATTGTCTCCAACCATTGGTTCTTACAGTCCCGAAGACCCCAACCAGATGGTCTACACCTCCCTATGTGGCTCAAACTAACTGTCAAATACTAAATATTATCAATGTCACTCAGTAAATTTATTCTAAAATTCAGTGAGTTCAAAACGTTCTCGAGGAATATTTGATTTCATAACCTGTCGATTCATAATAAAATGTATGTTTCAAATAAACCCTTAAGAATCTTTGTACAATGCCTACATCTTTAACAATTGCTCTGTAAATAACAAAGTTATAAGTGGAATGCAGACTCATATAGCAAAGCCTTCAATTTCTTAATACAAACTGTAAATCGTGCTACCACACTTATTTATTCGCTTCACCGTCTTCTCACTGTCTCTAATGGTTTCCTATGACCTTTTTCATTCATTATAATCCCCTCTTATAACTAAATACTCTGACATCCAACTGTTGGGTGTGACAGATCGAATTCTTACACAGTAATTTTAGGTTTGATATTTGTAATACCATTCTGTATCTTCAGGAGTGAATATTAATCCTCTATTTCAATTACTTAGCACTATTTTACGCATCTTCCCTCTTCCTGGTATATTTGTGAAGACAACAGAGCTTGACCAAGAACACACAAAAGGTTAAAGCCAATCAAGGACTGAATTTTAGCACAAATTCTATCTGATTAAGCTGACACACATCAAAAGAGTTAATCAGTTGGAACCAAATTAATAGAAATACTTCTTTCAAGTAGTACGCTATGTGCTATGCTTATTACATGAGAGGTGACACTATTCAGTCTCCCAGCATAAAGTAGGAGCGGAAGTCGAACTCAGGACACAACAGTTATGAATCAAGTGCTAACACCAGTGTCACTGCAACAGACAAACACGAATGGAAAGGGAATAGTGAAATAGATGTTTGTGAAAAAGCTCAATTTGCAAGGTGACAAGGAGTAAATAAATTTGCATTACTGTGAAAAATTTGGAACTATGTTACTAACAGTCCCTTTCAGTTTGCTTTTGACACATCAATAAAAACGTTTTTTATGAGATTTTAAACTTTAAAATGTTACTTAGTAACATTTGTGACTTTGGTTTATTAAAGCTCCCTTAGATGTCTTATTTTCCTCCCCTTCGTCTGACCCATTGGTAGCCGAAATGCAAATCGAATTGGTATGTTCTAAGACATTTTCAATAACACTACATTTCATGAAATAACACATTCAGATCGCTGGACTTTCAGCAGTATAAAACGAAGACATCTTGACTTGTCCGTCTGACCAAATGATTACATGTTCAAGAAAGGAATTGATTTTTGTACGACCTTACGTTCATAGTAAAATACGACCTTTATTCACTCTTAGACACAAAACACGAAGTAATTATCTTGCATGTGTCAGTTACCATGGTTAATCCAAGGACTAAAGATTATTGGAGGTTAAAGTAAACGGTATAGCAGAAAATTGACCCACCATCAACATAATATGAAAACCTTGGAAAAGGCCTACCATACAAAAGTTGCTAACAAATCGAAACCATCCACAAGGTGGAACAAATGCTAAGATAATGAAAAATATAGCAACTATTGGTGCATGTTGTACTCATTCACATTAAAACACTAGTACTTCACTTATGCTTCCTATAAACTTATAGTATAAGTGAATAACCTGCTGTCTTTCACTTCAGCTCCTAAAATGTTCCAATCATCATGCTCTACACAATTGCAGACTTCTGGAATCCCATCAAGATTTACAACACTAATGATATATAATACAACTATAGAGCTGGTTGGTCCATTAAGTAAATATATCTTATTTATAGCAATTAACTTCCGCTAATAACAGTCTTCAATGGACCAAGTGGACTTTGTTTTCTTACATCATCCAGAATAGGACTAAAGTATGTGGAAATCGCAGTGCAAACATCTATGGCAATAGAAATTATTTTTCCCACGACATCTAAAAGTAACTTGCCGGCACAATAAATAGATGCAAATACAATCGTCAATAGGATCTCCGTACAATATTTAAGAAAGAATGTTGTTTAAATATCAAGAACTAGATATGTCCGGAGATGACTTATCTCTGTAGCTCTATTTTCCGCGCGACAGAATTAAGTACCATTGTTAGCTTTCTGTAGAAATCCAAACTTCCAATATTCTGTCAATGGCACTACTTAGAATACCTGAGTTAATTCTGTACTGACGGTCTCGCCATGGAAGACTGAATACAAGTTGATGAAAAAGAAATTTCTTACCCATTCAGTGGGTAAAATTCGCACGATAATGGTTACGGAAATCCTATTTTCAAAACCAACGATTCTCCTTGCTACCTTCACGTTGTAAGGTTCCAGTTTCAAACAGTCACAGAAAACGTTCCTAAACTAACTTCATTTTAGGGCTTATTATTAATTTAAAGAACCTATCTTAAACTGGAAACAAAACACAGTAACCACCGGTAAGTTTTGTTCGGTAAACCTGTTTGTAAAACGGACCCCAAGAAGCAAATACTACACAGTATATCACCAGTTTCTGAAGTAGCCGATAATTCTGCTGCAAGGTAGTGGCATAACACAAGTGGAGAAATGTCATCACTTATTAACACGCCCTAATTCATACTGAAAATGGATGAACGAGACAAAACTCCTTACTAACTATTTGTTCGTAACTATTTTACAAATATTTGAAGATAAATACAGTCGCTTCTATTCTAGAAACATTGAGAAACTTTTGAGGCTAAATAGATGACACGTTTGTAATGGATTACTATCTGAAACAATGCATATGAAGATCACGTGATCCTAAAGTACATTAGAAGCCAATCTAAAACTTTGGTAGGACTATGAATTCACTGAATTCAAGACTTCAAGAACACTTTAAAAAATTTCGACAACTTAACAAGAAAAAGCAATACGAAGGGCGTTTTGCGTCTTTTAATATTTATTAAATAATGTTATACTTGCTAAATTGTAATTTAGCCTCATACGATGAGGTGGTACTTTAGATTTTTCTAAAAAATCTTTAGCTACCTTTGGAATGCGATACGTTAATGTCCTGAATTATGTCTTCAAAAGTGCAGAACAAAGCTTAAGACTTGATAATTGCCAACGTACTTAACGTTGAGACCTTGAATTCTGAAAGGCGCGCTCGACCCTAATCAATCAGGTTCAGGTTTCCGTTTTAGAATGTTAGGCTTAGAATCCATTTTAATATTTCTTTAAAACGTATCTGTGTTTGTATTATCCCCCTTCGAATGGGTCGATTGAATGAGCAAACATCACTTTCCCTGATAGCTGGTTCCAAAAGTTAATGAATCGATGGGAGAACGAATGTTACATAGCGAAATAGTCTAGTGGCTCTATTTCATATAATCAGCCTCCTTGGCTAGTGAAATATCTTCTTATATTCCTTGAGAAATTCCGGTCCGGTGTAAAGTAAAATATACGACTCATCCGTTGTTATTATTTACAATTTAAACATCGTCATATTATTTCTATTCTGTCAGCAGTATAGCAAGGAGAAGAGATTCATATGGTTAAGTTATTCTCCGCATGTTAAATTGGTAGGCAGTGGTCTGCATTTTTAGGTGTGACGGACTTGTAAGTTCTGTGCTACTGGAAATAAGAGATAACCCATACTGCGGAAGTGTTATGTTACATAAGTTCGGGTTTCGTATGCAGCCTAGATTTTGAAGAGAGGAGTCATTCAGATGCAATGTATAGTGTATGGCTCTGAGACTATTTGCATTAAGTGGCAGTTGTCAAGCATTCACATAAACTATTCGGGTTATCTTTCATTTGCATGAATCCTTCTTCCATAATTACATCCGACAAGTTGTAAACAATGTGTAAGTCTTGCTGAACTCAAGCTGATTTGTGACAAATGTTTCAAGCGCTGATTTCTTATATCTGCTATGAATTTGTTTGGGTACTCGAAGGGTTATGGCAATGACTCAACTACTCACTATGTCCAAAACATCAGATAGCCCATTTGGATGGTTTACGTGCTGTGACCAGTCAATGGTCCCTAGAGTAACCACAAATTTTCAATGTCAATTTGGAAGGGGAAGTAGCTGCCAGATTAAATCACATAATGTTGACCATGTAAGGTAAAAGATCAGCATAGGCAGATATGTTAGCCAGCTTCATATTGCTTTCAGTAGGTGAGCGAGGGGGTAACAGATGCAATCTTTCAGATCATAACTGGTAAACGTGATCATTGTAGTCTATACTAATTCGTAAATTTTGATTGGTTAGGTTTAAAAACATTGTGTGGTATTAATATCACAACAGACATAAGTAACAGAATGCTCTTCTCTCCCCTTAATTGGTAAGAATTACAAATAGATATATCCACACCACAAGTTCGGAGCCAATCATGCTTCGGTAATCATTACGAGGGACAGGGATGGTCTTGTAGGAAGCACATCATCTTGAGTGTGTGGCAAATGCTGATAGTACGAAACAAGATGATCAGATTCTGTTGAAACTTAGCCAAGATAGGGTTGTTTTGGAGCAATGCTGTGAAGATTGGTAGGTGTCTAGCACAGTCATAGAGTAGCCACAGAAGGGCACCTGTGGAGTTTCCCCAGTACAGATTTTGCAGGAATTCGAAGACATGGTGAGTCGTATCTCTTGTTATGGTGATTCTGTCTATTCCAAGAAATCCTGTTTGGTTCACAAACATTGGTGCTTGAGTTAGACCTGCAAATCTCAATGGTATCTGTTTTATGCTAGTAGACAGCAATTATAAATGGGTTTCCGTATATGCACCCTAAAATCTGGAGGTAAATCAGCACTCTTTCATGAATCTCGGTATGACCAAAGAAAATAACTACAAGTTAGGTGATACCAGCTTTAATATTCAAAATATTGCTTCAGAGATAAGACGCTAAAAGTTAACGGTAGTCGTGGGACAGATAACACACGACCTAAAGTATAGAAAAAGAGTAGCATAGATACAACATTCTTGTAACTTAGATTATTTGCCCTCTCATTAAAGACTGAAACCTACCCTGAAGTGTGGAAAAACGCATACATATTGCCTAAGCGTAAGGCAGGAGTGCAAACTAGGGCATACAACGAAAGGCCTATCAGTATATTATGAAGAAAGCAAGACCGAATGCCAGACTTCTTATTAGAACATTAACTAACCAACGCATCACGGCGCGGGCTCCTCAAAAAAGGCGATCATGTACCCCATGTTATCTAGGCTTTTTCTATAAATTCACCTGTAGAAGAGAAAGGAGAGAACTAGTAACTATCCTATATTTTGGTGTAATAAAAGCCTTCGATAGAGTTTTACATGGCTTGTTAGTCGGCAGGATTTGCAGCCCCATCCAGAACTGGGTAAAAATATTTCTCACTGATCGAAACCAAGCAACAAAAGCTGGGTTGATGACCTCCAGAACTATACCAAAATGCACTGGTGTCGTCCGGGAATGTGCATCAGGCCTCCTTTTCTTAATAGCATATACAAATAATATCTGTGAATGCTTTAGTATAGGTTCTTGGGATGTTCATAAAGTGATTCATAAATGCATGAACACAGATCTCTGTACATCCATAAACCCTACACAGGAGGAGTTTATAGAAATGAATAGATGGTGTGACGCCTGGAGATTTGATTTTGATGTTGAAAAATGTGGTTGACTCTACATAGGCTGCTCCCGCCTTGAACCCTGCCCGGTAACTCGAGACCATACACTCCTCAGGCTTTAATATGTACTAGACCCATGACTGAAATATTTACGTAACCTACCACTTTTAGAAAATATTTTCAAACAAGTATAAAAATCACACAGTATCATAGGCTATCTGCTCAGGATATAAGTGTAGAACTTAGGTATTGTGGTAGAATGTAATTTTATGTTATGTTAAGTTCATTGTAAATGTCACATTGTGATGCATTAATAACAACTGGATGACATTTCAAGCATAAATTATTGCTCATAATCATTTAAATTTTAGTCACATGATTTCACAGTTTGTCTCATATATTTTCTTCCCTTCTGTCTCTCCACATTTCCTTTGTTGTGTGTTGCCCCTTTCCAGATCTCCTGTATAGACGTTGCTTCATTCCGATCGCACGCGTTTGGTGTTGAATCGATGGACTCTAATCAGGGACTTTTCAAAAACCATAGACGCGTTTGGTTTATCTGCTTTAGACACTACGCCCGTCGACTGTTTCGACCCGATTTTTAATTTCAAATAAAATAGGAGTAGTCAAGGCAAAAGACCTCAAAACACATAATATAGGAAAACGATGGCATAACTTGTCACAATATCACACGGACATACTTGCGTTTGTTGGACACCATTTATACCTCACCAGCTACAGTTCGCCTGTCTGAAAGTAATACAGCGATTTTTTATCTGCAACGACGAGGAACTATAAATATCCACAATTCCTATCAGAACAACCCAAATTACTTAAATTTCTCAATATTGAGTATATCTTCACTGGTGGTAGAAACCCACTAATTAATGCATTTAAAGAACGCGTATATTTTCCATGATCACGCATGGCGATATTTTGTGGAATATTGGATCCTATGTGAGCGAAGGAGTATGACATCACCAATGTCCCTGGAAAGCCCTGTGAGCAAATGAGTAAAACCAGGTAGGTGATGCCGAAATCATGAATAGAATGTGCCCGATGAAACTTCATGATATCAAATGGGATATTTAGTAATTCTTAGGTTGGGCTAAGAAGTATTTAGGGTTAGATTGGAGATAGGCAGGGTTAGACTGACATAAGTGAGGTGTTAGAGTTGGTTCAAATTAGTTTAGGGCCACTTTAGGAGTAGGGACCCGTCAGGGATAGTCTACAAATAGATTATGGAGTTAACCAAATCCTAACTGTGAACAGGCTGTAGTATTCATTTGAATATTCATCTATATTCTGATTATTTTGATAGGTCACACACTGATATTAATGATGAAAATATTTACAGTAACAAATTCCACAACGGTAAACATGTCCGTAAATTAATCTGTTGAGGCTCTTTATACTCATGATACCTACATAAGAACAAATTCTTTTCTTTCCAATCAATACTACATCTAAGCAGTGCTGTAAAACTTGGCGTACACTAAATCTCAGGCGTGTCTCCGTTAGAGCATGCGTTTCACTGAAATTAAGCTGAGTAAAAGCCTGCAATGAAGTGAAGAAGTTCACTGACCCATACAAAGTAATCGGTGCTGTCGCACTCCGTTGGCAGGTACTGGTGCCTAAAGTTTCCACTGGTTAGTTTTCTACCGACTTTTTTACGCAGCCATAATATCCGTTGGAATATTTGATATACTGTGTGCGAAAACACCGCACGATGGCCTTTATCCTCACTATGTAACACAATGAGCAATAGTCACTCCAGGAAGGAAAGTAGAACGAGAGCTCGGTTAGAGCGTGCACTTGGTACAGTGGCAGAAATCAGAAAGCGCGGATCAAGCTCCTACAAACCATCAGTCAAATTGTCCTCATTGATATTGAGTCTCGATAGATTTTGTGCTTCTTGCTCCATAGAATAGACTCTTGGGTGTTTTCCTGAAAGGTAGAGAAGAAAACAGCGTTAAGTACTCTATCTATAACAGTTTTCATTTTGTTGCGACTCCAGCTTTCAACGCACATTTTAAGCACATTGTCACACATATAAAAACTTTGGTTCGTACAAACAAACTTGAATCTATGTACATGAAAACTGCTATTCCCAAGTGGGAAAGTAGTTTATTGATACTGATATTAATATTTATGCAATGCGTGTGTATCATGCCTGTGAACTCGTAAAGTATAAACAGACTACAGTGTATAAACTAAGATTGTATTACGTGGTTGCATTAGCTGGTATCCCTCATGTACTGTAGAGTGAGAATAAATATTATTATTATACCCCCATCAGTCTCAAAAGTCACTGAATACAGCTGTGATACTGAGTAACTGAAGTCATTACTAGATGCAAGTTAGGATAGGCTGATGGATTTAAACACACTAGCCTGTCTTACCTCTACTAATGGCACTCGACTTTCAGATGACAATGGCTACAAACTAAGACACACTAAGGGTACAGTAGCTATCGAACAATGTAAAACAGCCACCAGGAAAAAGTTTTACTTGATTAGGTATGCACA